TAGCCTGCCAGTACAATTTGGTGGTTCTATATACTAATTATTGTTTTATTTATAGTATGTCTCAGGAAGGGGTAGAGGATTTCTCCCTGCCTAGCACCCGGCTAGAGCTGTCACTCCCACACAAGGAGGAGAGCTAGCTAGTCCAGCATCAATTAGATCCTGGACAATCCCGCGCATAACCACGGAATTAAGGAGACGACAAATCCCCTACCCCGCTACAGCAAGGAAGGCAGAACTTTTCAAACTGCTACGCACATCAACCAATAACATGAAAGCCGGGGAAGGATCTAGCCAGTCCAACCCAGGGGACATACATGCCATGTTATCCTCACTCATGGCATCCATGGGCAAGGTCAACTCCAGGCTGGAGAAACTTGAGTCGGTCACCACGGCCCTCACTCTAGCAGGGCCACCCGCGGCTGCGGTACAAACACCAGCCTTGCCATTAGTCACTCCAGCCAGCCCCCTGGATGACCAGGAAGTTAGCCCGGCCCACATGATACCTGAGCATATCAAAAGGGATATCCTGGAAGGTAAAGACGTCAACCTGGCTTCCTGTTGATTGCCTCCCAGGACATTGTGGAACATAAGACGTATGCTTATGATGATGTTTCTGTTATTGTCAGATCTAGGGATGCCCGCCTGAACAGGAAACTGACTATCCCTGAATTTGTACTAGCGTTTGGTATTTACAGGGATGTCGTCTGTGCGGTTTATCCCAACAGAAGAGAGGAGTTTGATCTCTATATGCACAAGGTGGTAGACCTGGGCAACAAATATGGTGGTTCAGCATTCTATGACTACCATAGGTCTTTTTCTGCAAAAGTGGCTGGAGCCTTCTCCCAGTACGGAACACGATCCAACTGGGGAAGGATTGATACCGTCTTATTTTGCAGACACTTTGCAGGTCTAAGAACACCAGCTTGTGCATGCTGCTCCTCCACAGCCCATACTACTAATTTTTGTCCCAACACGGCAGACGGACATGCCTCCACACAAGGAACTAGTTCCTCTGGGGATCCAGGGAAACTATCCAAAGACAAATTGGGACGCCCAATCAAGTTTCTGGGCAAGTCCCAGATATGTAATAATTTCAATGTTGGGTCTTGTAATTACGGTGGATGTAGACTATTGCATGTCTGTTCAAAATGTTTTAGGGCACATGCTAAGACCATGTGTCCAAATAAAATGTATTCTAAGCCTTACCTTACGTCCATTAATATGCCAGTATTCACAGCATTGATGTCTCAGCACCCACCTAGACACCTGGTAGATTTTCTTATTTCTGGTTTAACAGAAGGCTTCCACACAGGTATCCTACACATACCAGCTGGCACTCTGGAATGCCCAAACCTACAATCCGCCCAACACAACCCCACAGTGGTTGACACCCTCATAAACCAAGAAGTGGAGGAGGGCTTTGTATTGGGGCCTTTTAGAACTCCCCATTCACAGAATGGCGCACCAACCCTATTGGTATTGTCACAGGGAAATCTTCCCAAAAACAGAGACTCATCATTGACTTATCGGCTCCCCACTCATCGGCCAACCCCAGTCTTAATTCCCTCATGCCCTCTGAGGAATTCTCTCTGCAATACACCACCATAGATCACGCCATTACAGCCATCATACAAGCAGGGGTGGGAGCCTGGCTCAGTAAGACCGACATTACTAACGCCTTCAAATTACTCCCTATCCACCCCACACTGTGGCACCTGCATGGCATCAAATGGTCCGAGAACTACTATTTTTTCTCCCGGTTAACTTTTGGGTCCAAAAGTAGCCCAGCTATTTTCGACACATTTGCCGAAGCACTATGCTGGTTACTATTGAACATAGCCGGATGCCCTACAGTATTACATTACTTGGGCGATTTCCTACTGGTCGAGGAGAATACTGCACCTCCCACTAGCCTCAAAGCTACCACTAAGCTGTTTGAGCAACTAGGTGTACCCATCTCCCCAAAGAAAACAGAAGGGCCAGACACGGTTATCACTTTTCTGGGTATCCAGTTAGACTCTGCCACAATGCAAGCAAGCCTACCTTACAAAAAGATAGACAATATTCTCACTTACACAAACAACTACCTACAGCTCAGCACTTGCAACCGCAAAGAACTACAGTCCCTGCTGGGGTCACTAAATTTTGCAATGCGCATCATACCTCAAGGCCGCTCCTTTATTTCATGACTATTGCATCTTTTCTCACTTTTTCTACATGACACGCACAGGTTGTCCTTAGATGCCCAAGCTACGGCAGATCTAAACATGTGGAAGAGGTTTTTAACCACTTGGAATGGTAAAAGTATGTTCCTCCCTCAATTGACTGAATCATCTCCTACCATTTGGTCAGATGCGGCATCTACCACTGGTTTTGCAGCAATTTTGGGAACGAATGGCTTTGGGGCAGCTGGCCTTCAGCAGTTCTGGATTTGGAAGGTTTTTCCACTACCTCAGCTCTTTTTGAGATCTACCCCATAGTGGCGGCTGCCGTAGCGTGGGGTCATTTATGGGCTAATACGCCAGTGCGTTGTTACTCAGACAACCAGGCGACCTGTCACATCATCAACAAAGGTCGTTCAAAATCTCTTACGATTATGAGATTTCTGAGGAAACTCACTTGGTTGGCAGCTTGTCATAATTTCTTCCTATGTTGTTTCCATGTGCCAGGTGTATACAACACAGCTGCTGACAGTTTGTCTCGCTTTAAATTTCAGGAGTTTCATCAAGCACTCCCGTCAGCAGCACCCACAGCCACCATCACTCAACATTTCAACAACTCATACTGGACTAGACGTCATCATGCAGCATAGCAGGACATTGTCTCAGTTGGCACTTTCACACAATACAAACAAAACATACAACAGGGCTTTCACACTTTTCAAACGATTCCTTCTGGAACATAACATCATACAACCGTTTGTTATGACATCTTTTTTGGGGTTTGCTTCCTTTTGCGACCTTAAACTCAAATTGTCATATAACACCATCAAACTCTATCTCACTGGCATTCAACACCACATGCTCATCTTACACCCAAATAACAACAGTTTCATGGCCTCTCACCAAATTAAGACCATACTCAGAGGTATTCAAAAATCAGAACCCACACATTTGGCCCAGAGGCTACCCATAGATAACCATATCTTCAAAGCTTTATCTAACCTACTCGACCTGAAACCATTTGACACTAATACGAATTCTATCATCAAAACAGCAATATACATCACTTTCTATGGATTTCTACGACCCAGAGAATTCACTACGACCTCCACGACCCAAACCACTCCATTCCTCCTCTATTCCCACTTGACAAAACATATGGATCATTACATCCTGTCTTTACCTCACTCCAAACCAGCCAGCACATACCTGTAAACATTCCGTACTACCCCACGCACAACAGATGGTGTCCCGTAAAAGTTCTTGATGCCTACATACAGCACCATCACTTACTGCCCTCGCAACCGTTATTACAACTACAAGGTGCAGTACTCACCACTACAACCTTCATGACCTACGTCAGGTCCTTGCTCACACAACTGGGCCTCAACGCAAACAATTACTCTGGACACTCCTTTCCTATATGAGCCGCGTCCACAGCCTCCAGTTTCAACGTCCCAACTCATGTTATCAAAACACTGGGGCGCTGGAAGTCATCCGCTTACTCACGGTACATACCGAACCCAGTACAAGAGTTAAGAGATGCTTTCATAAACATGTCTGGTTGATAAATGCATATGTATTGGTTGTCTGTTAATAAATTGGATTACTTAATTTTTGCCCTCTTCTTTCTCAGGCCTACCTCATCGTCGGTTTCGGCACACCACAACCGACTTTCTCCTTTTATCATCCTACGCTTATTCATGGTATTTCACACTGTACTATCTTAAGCACCTAACACAAGTATTAAGGCAATTTGCCTGCATTTGTGAGAGGTGCTGGTTTTCTACCCCTAGCCTACTTAAGGCACTCCCCTTGCCTGGCTCCTTACCGTTCGAGGTCAGCGTTGAATGACCCTCCCACCACACCACTTTTAACATTTATTTCCCTTTCTATTTCTTTTCCTGGGTGGGCCCTCTTCTTTCTCAGGCCTACCTCATCGTCGGTTTCGGCACACCACAACCGACTTGCTCCTTTAATCATCCTACGCTTATTCATGGTATTTCACACTGTACTATCTTAAGCACCTAACACAAATATATATATATATATATATATATGTATATATACACATTTTTTGGTTATGTTGTTAGCCTGTACGAACTTAAGTGGATTATAGTATTGGGAACTATGGTTTATAGATAGGAATACAAACACATCGTTATTATGATATTGAGCTGAAGCTTCTTTTAAGGCATGCACTATGAATTTATGTGTGTATTTGTATTTTTTATTGTTGTATTTTTCATATTTTTTATATATTTTCTATAAATAGACTGTATTTGGATACTTTGTGTGTACATATATCTAACATGAAAAACGATCCCCTCTTTCTCTAATAGCAATATTGTTCCAGGTTTATATTTTGATAATATCTTAGTATAACTACTTAGTTGACTTGGCTTTTTTACGGATGATTAACGGAACAACATATAAGAGCGTTGTGAATGGCCGCCTGTGAGAAAGCCTGTGAAGACGGGAGAAACGCGTTGATGTGCAAGTGGCCATTCATTGTTTTATCTCTGTAACAGCAGCGGTCCATCTTGTGAGCTTTTTCCCCAGCATTTTCATCTGTCATCTGGCTTTTGAATGTTCAGCCAAAACTTGGGAAATAGGAGCATCGGACGGTATCGTTATTTGCTATAACAAAGTGTTTATTGTGGTTGCTTGGAAACAAGTTTCACAACTATCAAATGTAAGCGTCCTTTTCAGGGGAAGGGGGTTTCTTTTTTGTACCGACTGGTTTTTATTAATAAACGCAGAATTACGCTATGCAGCTTGTTCTGTATCTCCTTTAAGGTCCGGTCGTGATTGCTGCTTGAAGTTCAGCTAGAGACCCTGGAAGTATCTCTGCGTGACACTCAATATCCCCCATCAAGCATCCCAAGAACCAGAAACATTTAAAGTGTTTATTCTGAAGTTGGGACACTTATGATTGTGGCACATGCCATTGACTTTTTACTCTTACATATATTTTATATATTTTTTATAAGATCAATGGACAAATTAGATAGTATCAATTGATTGATTTTTATTGTAATAATTGATGCATATACAGTCTTGGTGATTCCACATAGTAGAAGTAGACTTGCCAAAAAGCTAATTGGTCTGAGTCTAATGTAGCGCTGGCACTTATCTTTTTCTAAAGAATGGAGGTTGTGAAGACTTACCATAAGGTCTTCATCCTGAAGAAGTACCTCTTGGGCCACTAATAATCCAGCGTCAACCACGTTGTGGGAATTAAGTTGGTATAGTGCATAATTCAAAGAAATTGGCTCGGCCAGTAAAAGGATAAACGGCTCCTGGCTTTTCTAGCCCCAGCAAAAACTCTAGGGTTAAATAGCTTGCGCATCTTGGATTACAATTTATCTAGAGCAGTCGATGTGTGGACAAAGGAGCCTCATTCATTTACAAAGTTGTCCCCAAAGAGAAAAGCTTTTGCTGTGTCCAGCTTGTTCAGAGCCATAGTTACACATTTGGGCTCAATCTTGAGCAAGATCGATTTGCAGTGTTAGCATTGCCAACTTAACAGATCACTCTCTGGATCCAACCACTTAAGGAGGCGCAATCTAATTTTAGATCATCCTGTACTGCTTCAAAGATCTGAGCTGCAGGGCCCAAGATGTCCAGGATTTTATACTGACAGTTTTGCAATGAAAAAGCTAAGCCTTTAGTAGGCTTCCATCCTATCTTATTCAGAAATTGAATGATCTTAGGATCTTTTGATAGTGTTTTACATGCGTCATCAGGGACTGTTCGGCGTGGGCATTCAGACTGCAATTTATTTCACTTTGCGTACTCAAAAGGCTTGCGTACTCTGGATGCAATATACTCGGCTACGTGGTCTGAGGAGACATCTGGGTGACAAAGGTCATCAGGTTCGAATAGGGGTTCACTTCAGAGTCCAAAATCCTATCAGTGTCCCCTGAGGTCGCAATGATCTACCTCAATCTTGGTAGGTTTAATAAGACATGTATCCCGGGTGGGATTAGCATCCTCTCCATCAGTAATTTTATAAGCAGGATCAGAAAGATCCTCTGAATCCTCCATATAGGACTCAGGGAGCTCCTCCTCAATATCACTGAGCTCAGACTCAGAGTTCAGTTGAGCTTTTTCCCTTTTTCAAAGTCTAGTCGATTTTGCCCAGCTAGTGACTCTTTTGCAAGGTGGTAAATTAATTGCACCATCTGTGACAGGAATAGTACTGTCCACCTATATTATTTTGGAGGAGTGTTTAGCCTTAAATGAGGCCTTGAGGCAAGGCTGAAGCAGAGCAGGTGTGCGTACAGGTACTGCCGCTTGAGTAGGCGGCTGAGCTGATCTCTGTGCCTGTAACAGGGCCTGGGCAAATATCTGTGAAAGTGAATCAGACATAACCCCCATCACTGAAACCAGGGCCTTCGCCATTGCTTTTGACATGGAAGTGTTAATTAAAGCCTGCATATCAGCAGGAGCAGTGAAATCAGCAGAAAGAATCAGCTTCATCTCCAGAGATACATGGAAAGGCAGTGCAATATCACTGTGCAGGAGATAAAGATCCTCAAAAATATCTCTGAGCCCCAATTGATTGTAATCTTATAAAAGTATATGCAATAAAGCATATAACTGGAGCAAATGAAGTAAATACATCAAATTAAGTTAACATGAAGTAACTAAATATATATATAAAAATATTTAATAACTATAATAATAACCATATTAACCACATTAATGATATGAATAAAAGTAAAAGATCCCACAGTTAAAGGGACACTATAGTCACCAGAACAACTACAGCTTAATGTAGTTGTTCTGGTGAGTATAATAGCTCCCTTCAGGCATTTTCATGTAAATGCTCCCTTCAGGCATTTTCATATTGCCCCTAGGGACACCTCCAAGTGGCCACTTCTCAGATGGACACTGGAGGGGCTTCCTGGCTAAGGGGTGCACAGTAAGCAGCCCTGCAGTTCAGTGTCCCCACGCTCTGCATTAGAATGCTGAATTTTCCTCATAGAGATGCAATGCAGCGGAATTGTCCCCGCCCCTTTGTAGAATCTGCTATTTTGATGATGACACCAAGGGGGTGGGGCCAGTGCCAGCAGACCCATGGAGAGCTGAAAATAAGATGAGTTTTAACCCATTCTGAGGGGGCAAGCCACCTAAATGGTGAGTTTTCACTATTGGGTCAGGAATACATATTTGTGTTCCTGACTCTATAGTGATCCTTTAAGAACCGTGGGACCCAGTGTCACGTAACTGAATGAGTAGCAATGAAAGAGGAAGTAGTATACTGGACACTGCCTATTATGCTATGAAGAGGATGCTGATTGGCTGTTCCTGTTGCTAGAAAGATATACCTCTCATGTTATTTACTGATTTATTTTTATACTGAGTTAATGTTATTTTTCTTTGCCGCTGAGGGAAAAAAAGAATGAGTGCAGCATAATAGGAGCCTCCGTGTCTTAATAAAATCAGGTATAAACACTTGGTGACA